GGCTGGCATTGAACTTGCAGCGATCCTCCTGCCTGAGCCTCCTGAGTGCTGGAATTACAGATGTGCGCCACCATGCCCAGCTTTCTTTAGGGTATTTACAATAAATGGATATTAGATTTTGTCAGAGACCTTTTCTACATCTATTGAGATGATCATATGATTTTTGTCCTTCTGTGTGTATGATGTATTACATTTATCACTTTGCTTACATTTATTGATTTGTGCATGTTGAACCATCCTTGCATTCCTGGGATGAAGCCTACTTGGTCATGATGTATGTTGTTTTGGTGATTTGTTGCTTTCTGTTTGCTAGAATATTGCTAAGTATTTTTGCCTCTATGTTCACTAAAACTTTCTTAAAATAAATCCATTTAATTTTTTATAATATTTTTCCTATATATAGTCTTCCTATATGAAATGTTTTAAATTATAATTCTCATAGATATTGCATCCCTTTTACTATCTAAAAGTGTATTGCAGTTCGTCTTTTCTCCTTGGTATAGTTTATGACAAAGAAGTTAATTTTATACTTCTAGGCTATTAGTGCAAGAAGGGATCTAAAACATCTTACAATCCATATTTATATGAAATTTATTTCAAGGTGTATAAATCACTGCTTTTTAGTATATTTTACTGTACCATGGTGTACAACTATTAGCACTAATTGCAGAACATTTCTACCACCCCAAAAGACTGCTGTCTATTAGCAGTCAGTCCCAGTTCCTCCCTTAACTCATCCTCTGGCACCATTTCTGTCTGTATGAATTTGCATCATTTGGACATTTCACATAAATGGTGTTATTCACTATATGATCTTTTGTGACTTTTTATTTAGTATAATGTTTTCAAGACTCATTTGTGCTATAGCATATAATAATTCATTCCTTTTTACAGCTGAATGATACTCTATTCTATGGATATACCATATATGTTTATCCCTTTTTAGCTAGTAACAGGGTAATTGGGAATGTTTTGACTTTGAGAATACTACAGATAAAACTGCAATGAACATTTATCTAACATTTTTTCTGTGAACCTGTGATTTCTGTTCTCTTAGCTAAGAATGCAATTACTGGCTTATATTGTAATTCTGTGTTTAACTTTTTTTGAGGATCCTGCAAAGTTTTTCAGAGTAGCCATACCATTTTACATTCCTACCAGCTATATGTGTGGGTTCTAGTTTCTCCATACCTTCAGCAGTACTTATTTTTTTGTTTTGTTCTGGTTTTATGGCATATATGAAGTGGTAGGTCATATTTCCATTGCATTTTCCTAATGAATGATGATATTGAGCATCTTTTCTGAGGCCATACTTTTTTTTTTTTTTCCAGTACCGGGAACCGAACTCATGACCTTGTGCTTGTCAGGCAGGCACTGTGCCACTGAGCTAAATCCCCAGCCCTATTGAGCATCTTTTCATGTGCTTCCTGGCCATTTGTAATTTCTTTGGAGAAACATTTTTTTCAAGTTCTTTGCCCATTTGTTAATTTTGTTGTTGTTTTTTATTGAGTTGTTAGAGTTCTTTATATAGTCTGGCTACTAGGATTATATCACATAATAGATATATAAATGTCTTCTCCAATGCCATGGCTTTTACTTATCATTTGACACACAAAATTTTAACTTACTTTTTATTTTGTTGCTCATGATTTTGTTGTCATAGCTAAGAAACCATGCCAGCATCTTACTGTTGACAGTTTTATAGATCTGTAGTATGAATTTTAGGATCAACTTTTTCATTTCTGCAGAACTAGCAATTGGAATATTAATAGGATTTGTATTGAATCTGTAGAGCAGTTGGGTAGTATTGCCATAGTAACAATAGTAAGTCTTCAAATCCACAGGTTTTATATATGTCTTCAGTTGATTTTATGACTGAAGTTTGGTTAAATTTTTTTTGATGCTCTTATATATGGGTTTTTTTCTTAGTTTCATTGTCAGCTTGACCATTGTTAATGTGTAAGAGTACTACCGATTTCTATACGTTGCTCTTATATCCTTCAGCCTTGTTGAAGTCATTTCCTGGCTCTAATTTTTTTAGGATCCTTAGGGATTTTCTGTGTATGATGTCATTGGTAAATAAAGGTAGTTTTACTTTTTTGCCCATTAAGCCAGATGCCTTTTATTTCTTTTCTTGCTTGATTTCCCTGGCATGAACCTCAAGTATGTTGTTGAATAGAAGTAGGAAGGGCACGGTGGTATACACCTATAATCCCAGAACTCAGGAGGGCAAAGCAAGAGGATTGCCATAAGTTCACGGCCAGCCTGGGCTACATAATGAGTTCAAGACCAGCCTGAACTACAGAGCAAGATTCTGCCTCAAAAAAAAGATCAAGCATCCATGTCTTGTTCCTGATTTTGGGCAGAAAACATTTAGTTTTTCACTGTTGAGTGTATTAACTGTGGGTTTCACAGATCCGTCCTCTTTATTAGGTTGTTGGCATTTCTTTCTATTCCTAGGTCTATACCATGGTGTTATAATGGAATAATATTGGAGTTTATCAAATGCTTTTTATGCTCCCTTGATCTTGTAAATGAGGTGGCAGGCTGTATTTCCCTGTTGGGGAGGTTAAATATTGCTTCTCAGCCTTTTGGCTAAGGTCTAGTGTGGAAGGTTAGATACATGTCTTGTAGTTACTTTTCACACCGAATTTCCAGTCCTGACTATGTCCAAGCCTGATGGTCCCCACTGTACATGCGGTGTTCTGGTTGACGTGCAGCCTGTAGAGCTCTCATCTCCTACCGCACTTGTGCTGCAGGGCTGACCTTCTGCTGAACAGAGGCATGAAGAGGGTGAGCTTTCTGGTCATTTTCTGCTGAGAAGACAGTATTGTCTGTTTGCCTTAAAGATGCTATGCTTGTTTGTCCCCTGCATCTGGCACACATGTATGAAAAAACAGCTGCTTTTTTAACTGTTCTGCCCCACTGTACTCATACAGTGATGCTACTTTGTAGGGCTGGTAGAGATATATAAAGAGCTGTTGATACCAGTTCATGTCTCCTGATGGCTTCCTCAGCCCTAGTGCCTATTACACCAGCCTGGCTACTCCTGACCCTGCTCATCTGTGGAAACGTGCACATTTTGTCATTCTGAAGCCAACCCGTGGTTACTGCTGGTACAGCTGAGGCCCTCTGGGCCTGGGCCCTATCTAGAACAGCTGCTTGAAAAACTGTCCCTCGCAGTCTTCTGTTAGCAGCTGGCTTGGGGGTACATGACCTGTCTGTCTATTGACCCAGCTAGGGCAAGGGAAAGACTCCCTGGCCTTTCAGTACTATTATTATTTCCAGTCAGATAAATTTACTTGTGGTATTTAGCTCTGTAAAAGCTAATTTGGGCCACCATGTTACCAAGAAGTCAGCTAAACCTACCCAGTGACATGCTTCGCCATAGAACCTCCAGTCATTTTAATAAGCACTTGAAAAATAAGTCTTTTTTGTCCATGTCACTTAGGAGGCCTATTTTCTAAGCCATTTATTTTGCACAAAGTCTAGCCTAGAAATGTACTAGAACAATTGTTCTGTTAAGAGTTAAATCAGAATACCTTATAAGTCTGAGTGTCCGCATTTCTCCCAAATCCATGTTGAGTCCTAACCCTCAAGCATTTAGAAGGTAGGGTCTTCAGAGGGTGGTAAGGTTATAAGGACTCCTCATGAATAGGATTAATGTCCTTATAAAAGAAGCCTCAGAGGGCTTCTTGACCCCTTCCACCAAGTAAGGACACAGTAGGATGTCTCTATGAGTTAGAAAGTGGGGCCCTCACCAGACACTGAGTTTTCTTTGTTCTCATCATTTGCAGCCTCCAGAACTGTAGGAATAAATATCTGTCATTTGTAAGCTGTGCAGTGTAGGGCATTTTGCAGTAACCCAAATTGACTAAGACAGAATCCTAAGATCAAAACCCACCCAGTACTTTGCTTCTTGCTGAGGCAAAAGGCTTTTGTCCTTGCTGTCACTACCTGAGAAACCTGATCCAGTGTCTGCATGGCTCTCTTCCTTACTACCTTCTTGCTGAGAGATCTTCCCTGACCACTTCATTTAAAATCCCAGTTGCTGCCTCCCCAACTTTCCTCTGAGTTCTCTCTCCTTGCTTCTTTTTCCCCTAAAGTATGGCTCCCATGGGGAATGAAGGCTACATGGAGAGCCGAGACTATATTTGTTCGCAACTTTCTTTTCTCATCATGCCTGGCTCCCAGAAAGCACTCCATATATAATTTTCAAATGAATGAGTGGATCTGCCTGAAAGCGACAAGTGAGCAATGCTAAGATAAGAATGTGCCCCACAGGGCAAGACCAGAAGGTGATAGAGTAGACATTGGGTCACTTCTGGTCCCCAGAGCATCCCTCTGCAGCCTGTGTCTCAGTTGAGCCTCAGACCCTATGCGTGAAGCTCTTCACTAGGAGAGCTCTCAATTTTTAGTCTTCGTGTGCTTGGCTTCCTTGGTGTCCTCCAGAAAGTCAGAGCTGTGCTGCAGAGAGAAAGTTGTGGAACAGGTGTAGTAATCGTCACCTATTTTGAGGTAACCTGAAGGTGCACAGATGCCTCTTACGGCATGTTTTTCAGCCTTCCACTTTACTTAGGGACTGATCATTTGGGGCTTACTGCAGGCAAGTACCAGTGTTAATGAGCCCCACCACTTCTCCCAACCATGCTTACTCTTTGCTTTTTTAACTGTATAGTCAGACATTTATTTTGACCCCATAGCAATTTGCTAATTTGCTCACGTTCCTTTGGAATATCCAAGAATTCAGGTTTAGAGGATTGTTCACTTTAAGATGCACTAATTTAGGGAGTAAAAATCCCAATGAAGTTCTCACTAGTGTGTTTTTCTTTCCACTCCTAAGTCATTTAGGTAAAAACCAAGACTGACTTGGCCTTTACAGGTGGACCTCTCTCTTGTTCTATCTGAAAGCATCAGGAATGGTGTTGTAGGACAGAAGGTCCTAGGGGAAGTTCTCAGCTTTTCTTGCTGACATCAGTTTGTCCTTTTTATTTCTTCAGGTTGTGTCTACACTGCTGATAAACATAATCCCAGAGGACTACATCCCACTGAACTTAACTGGAAAAGCAAAAATCCCGGGGAAAGCCTGGGTACAAGAAACTCCTCGGCCTGTTCCCAGCTTTAACCCTGACTCAATGTGCGAGTCCCAGGTAGGGCTACACAGCTGTGTGGACAGGAGACTTCTAACCCTAGTGTAGACAGATTGATTTAAAACAGGCTGAAATGGAGATGTGCTCACAGAAGCCAGTGCTGTACCTCAGGAGAGGCGGGGTTGCACTTAGATGGTGTCCACTTCTGTCTTGGAAAGGTCAGAACTGATCTCCCATCTGAGCCCTGTCGAGTCTTAACAGATGCTGCATTCAGACCTGAAGCTGCCACTTTCTTTCCCTTCATAGATCATATGCTCGATGCTTGCTAGAAATTCTTAATATTTAATTAGCTTCTAGTTAATGCTTTTCTGTGAAAATACAAGTTCAAGCCTTAGAGGATACTAAAGAGGTTTTATTGTTACTCCAGGGTGCGGTGGAGAGAATCATGAGCCAAAGTTACAAAATTGTACATGTGTGTTCCCATTCCATTCACAAGGTCTAAATCAAGTGCAATTGACCTCCAGTGTGGAGGTGGGGGGACACAGGAGAGAGATATGTAGTCCCCCAAAACAAAATTAAGAACTGTTCGGCTGTGTGTGTTCATCTCCTTTATTTAAAAAATAAATATTTAATTAGTTTCACGTATTCTCTGCTTCTTTCTATAAAGGAGGGGAGGCAGATCTCAGGAGAGGGATGAACAGGATGAGGTTAACGCAAAGTTGAGGAAGGCAGTGTGGCTCCCCCAGGAAGCATCACCTGCAGCCTGGTATTGATGGCCTTTCCCCATACAGGTGATCATCAGGGAAGGAGAGCTGCTCTGTGGAGTGCTGGACAAGGCGCACTATGGGAGCTCCGCCTATGGCCTGGTCCACTGCTGTTATGAGATCTATGGGGGCGAGACCAGCGGCAGGGTCCTCACCTGCCTGGCTCGCCTTTTCACTGCCTACCTGCAGCTCTACAGAGGCTTCACCTTGGGTAAGTGCGGGGCTCGTAGCCCCTGCTCTCTGACCTTTGGGAACAACTAGATTTCTTTTGTAAGGGCATCTGGCCTCATTCCTTCTCGGTGCTGTTCACCTATCCCTCCTCACCAAGGTTTCCTCCCTCTTCGTGGTGCCAAGCCACCCTGTCCATCCCCACTTCTATCCTGTCCCTGTCTTAACATCTCCGTCACAGTTTTCTGTTCTCCACACTGATTTCTTACCTTCATACGCACCCCTTTCTGTCCTGTAAGCACCTGCTGAATTCCCTGCCACCGCCCCCCCACCTTTCAGAGGCACTCATGCCTCTCTGGCATGGTGGGTAGCTTCAATACTTTTTGAAAACACTGCTGGGGCAGAGCAATCAGGGATCCTAAAGTGGGAAGAGGAGCCCCCTTGTTTGTTCCCTGGAGGTAAGAACACACTGTTTAGTTGTGATCAATATAGAAAAGAGTGTGCTATTTTTCTCTGTGCTGGGTAAGGTTAACATTGGAAAATTGGCAAGGGCCCAATCTCCTGGGTACATGGAGCAGAGTCTAGGCCCTTCTGCAATGATCCTGTGAGGGAAACAGGAGATGTGGCTTGTTGAGCATTCACCACAATGCGTGGGGAGATGGTCTTGTCTGTGGGATCATGAATAGTGGAAACGAGGCTCTGGTTTATGGACTTACTTGCTCGTAGACATGGTGGGAAACCCACCTTACAGTCATAGGCCTGCCACAGTGGGAGCTGTGTTACCTCTTTTATGATGATGATACTGGGGATTAAACCCAGGACCTTACCACTGAGCTATATCCCTAGTCATTTTTATTGTTTATTTTGAGACAAGATCTCAGTAAGATAGATTTGAACTTGTGATCCACCTGCCTTAGCCTCTCAGAGTGCTGGGATCATAGGCCTGCCACCACACCCAGCTCATTACATTTTATTCTTTCAGTTGTGTAGTATTTTTAATTCTGGGAAAATTAAAAAATACAGTTTTCAACCCAGTAGCCAGTTGCCAGACATGTTATCCACTAGTGTCAATTTAATGTGCATATTTCTTGATGTTTCCAGTGCAGATACATTCAGGAAAAAAACAGAATTCTTTTACTATGTACTGTTTTGTAATCTATTCCTCAACACATTCCGTTCCAAATGTATTTAAATATGTCTTTGCAGTCAGCTAATACAAACCTACATCCAGTGTCTGGTGACAACAGATTATTCCATTTATGAGGTTGTTGAGTTGTTTCTCAGTATCGGAGGGGATTGACTCCAGCACCCCCACACACATGCACACAGAGGTAACAAAACCCAAAGATGCTCAAAGCCATCATATAAAATATTGTATAGTATTTGCATAGAACCTGCATACATCTTCCCATATGCTTTAAGTCATTTCTAAATTGTAATACCTAGCACGGTGGAAACACTGTGTAAGTAGTTGCTATACTGTGTTCAGGGAATAATGACAAGAAAATCTGTATATGTTTAGTACAGATTCAAGTTTTTCTCAAATATTTTAGATCACAGTTTGTCCAGTCTCTGGATACAGGGGGCTAGCTATATTGTAGTTTATTTAACTAGTTCTTACAGTTAAACAGACTGCTTATGAGTTTTTCACATTATCACTGAGATAAGTACCCTTGAACAAAAATCTTGGTGTGTAAATTAATTATTTTATCCGGGTAAGAATTAATAAATTACTAGTGTGTTTGGGGCTGAAACTCACCTTTCCTGCCCTGATTACTAGAAGGGGCCTGATTGTCCACTTCCGTTGGGAATGCCATTAGGGTCTCCACAGGAAAGAGGGTGAAGTGTGAAGACTTAGAACCTCGCACTTGTAATTCAGTCTCAGATGGTAACTTGGAATAAACATAAACACCTCTGCTAACTAGAAGAAGCACAGAGAGCTTTACTGTGCTCACAGTGGAGGATCAAACCTAACGAACAGCAATGCATGCAGCTCTGCTTAGCCTGTTGTACAGAGTGCAGTGACCCCTGGATGCAGCGATAATCTGGTGTGGTGTGGTATGGCCTGACTGGGGTAGACAGCAAGGCCAAGCTGGGAGTAGACTCCAAGGGGAAGGCAGGCTAGTGAGGATGACTTCATTTCACCCCTTTTTAGCCAGAGGGTGGCACTGCAGGGGACAGCAGGTGGTCTAAAGGTGAGCCCATGGCTGGGTCTGCTTTGGAGGTTGTGACTTCCTAGCAGAGGGAATGTTTCTTTGTCCTTGCGCCTGTGCCCATTCCATAGAAGCCATCAGATTTCCCAGCCATTGCACTGGCAATTTGAAATGACAGCCCCAGCTTTTGAATGTAGTTTTCCTTCCTTGCCCAGATTTGGGCTAAAGGAGTCTTGAGTCCTGTAGCACTCACAGATAGAGGCAATAATACGTGGATAAAGTGGTTAGACATACTACTGCCCAAGGTGAGCAGTTCTTCAGCCCTTAGAGCCAGAGGACGGGCTTAACTGAAGCAACCCAGGCTTTCATCCTCCTGAGGCAATGCTGAAGAACCTGCGGTGATGGCCCATGTCGGCCAGGCTCCAGCCTGTTCGTGGGCCTATTCACTCATCCAACTGCACAGATGTGCCCTGGGTGACTCAGGGCCTCTGGGAGTCTCAAATGGGATATTCTTTGTCCCTCTTTTTCCTTAACCCTAGCTTTTCATCCCAGATCTCTTCTGCATCTTGCCCTTTCATCCAACACAGACTTATTAGGTAGCTAAGAGCACCTGTTTGGGACTCTGGCCTGAGCTTACTTTCCACCTGTATGACCTTGAGAAGTAACTCCATTTTGAGCCTTAACGTTATCACTTATAAAATGGAGATTGTAGTGTTGGTGCTGTAGTCAGCACTAAGGAGATGCTGGCGATCTATTAGTAATGACCAACCTCGTCCTTCTCATTTGAGCGCTTCTGATGCATGTGTGTGGCTCTGCATTCTAGGCCTTCAGTCACGGAGCTTACAGTCTGGAGAGGTCAGGCTTAGTTCTTTCTGAGCTTATCTGTTCCACTTCACAGGCATGGAAGACATTTTGGTGAAGCCAAAGGCGGATGAGAAGAGACATCAGATCATTGAAGAATCCACCCAGTGTGGGCTCCAAGTAAGCAGAGACTGGGAGCCGTGGCTTGCCATGGGGGCACCAGAAGTCCTTCAGGAGACCCACACCCTCTTCATTTCACTGCAGCCTGTGATATGTTCTTTCATTCTAGGCTGTCAGGGCTGCATTAAACCTGCCAGAAGCTGCATCATGTGATGAGATCCGAGGGAAATGGCAGGATGCCCATCTGGGGAAAGACCAGAGAGATTTTAACGTGATTGATCTGAAGTTCAAGGAGGAAGTGAACCATTACAGCAATGAGATTAACAAGGTTAGCCTGGAAGTGCATGCACTTATCTCCACCTTTTGAATGCAGGGTTTTGTTTTTTTCTTTAATTATATTTTGATTCTCACCCAAGACCTTTTGAAGCACTCTGGCTTTATAACAGCTTACTAGGCTTGATTTGGGGTGGACTGGATAGATCCATCGTTTTGTATAGTTTTCAGGGCCTCATTCTCTCACCCAATTGAGTCTAGAAAGACTTCCTGGTAATGCCGAGAGGAAATGCTTTGTGCTGTTTTTCTGTGGAATGACTGTGTGGAAGGGCTGAAGGAAGCCGTCTTCCTATGGGACTGCTGTAGATGGACAAGGAGAACGAAGGGTCAGAAGCACCACTGTTGCTTATGTAGCTGAGCCAGGAGAGAAGCCTGGCTTCAAATCTTGTTTGTGCTTTGTACTTGATGGGCGGCCTCGGTGTCCTTATCTGGAAGCAGGCATAGCTGGGGCTTGCTGCCCTGTGGTGTAAAGGGGCTGTTCTGGCCCTCACCCTGCCTTCCAGGCCTTGAGGTCCAACCTGAGGAGGAAGCAAGGCCAGTGGTCAACAAAAGTCATTTTGTCTGTGGGGGCCTCTCACATGCTCGCAGTGCTCCTTTAGCTGCTAAGAAGACAGACCTCTCCAAGGTAGGCTTCCATTCCCAGGAGCTTTTGTACACAGGAGTCTGCCCAGCACCGTGGGGCTGACTGAGGTTTTGGAGCGGAGAGTTGTCTTTAGAAGCATCTCAGAGCAGCTCCTGGCCTCCCAGCTCTCCTCTTCCTGCCACCTCTTCCCACCCAGGCTCTGCCGCTCCTGTGTGTGGCCTGGCTCTGTAGAACTCCAGGCAGAGGCAGAAAGAGACCCAGGGCCACCTCAGCATCTCCCCAGGCCGCCCCTCCAGAGCTGGTCCTGGAACCAACGCATGGTTTCCCAGCTGGTGTTTGGCACCATGCTGGTAAATGTGGACATGGTGTGCATATTGGTGATCTGCTGGCTGCACCGGTTCACAAGGCCGTCACCTTTAAGTTTTTTCTTCCCAGCTCCTGTCTAGACTTACAGACTGCGTATGCCAGCCCTCCGACGCACGCACACTTTTCCATCTCACTTTTTGCCACACTTTAGGCAGGCTGAGGCTTCTGGCACAGATGTGAGCACCCCTTTGACTTCGGTCTAGAGGTTCTAGCAAAACAGTTGATGCCTAATGAGGTCTTTTTCATCTTGAATGGGATTTAGCCCTTATCTCTGGATAAATATTCTCATTTTACATTTTATTGTATCTGCATACCGGACTTACCTTCTGAACCTGGAACTTGTGAAGGGGTGAAGTCATTGACCAGTTTGTTGATTTCATCTGCAGGCATGCATGCCTTTCGGCCTGCACAGACAGTTCCCAGAGAACAACCTGCAGATGATGGTGCAGTCGGGAGCCAAAGGTTCTACAGTGAACACAATGCAGGTGTGAGCAAAGTGACTTGGCTGGTTTGCTGGAGAGGTGGGATATTGGCAGGAGACGGTTTTAAGGTTCATTTCTGATTTTATAAAGGATCTACATTCTGCATAAAATGTGACAAGGACTGAAAACCCTAAAAGTACATATAAATCACTGCAGCACTACCCACTGTTAAAGGGGTAGATCTACTGTAGGATATATGTAATGTAGATACGCATTAGAAGTATACTATAGGATATGCATAGTGTAGATACATATTTACATAGTTTTATTGTATTGCATATATTCAAGTTATAAATATACACTGTGTGTTTAAAATCTCAGCTGATCTTTTGGTTTTGCTTGATCTACTTTCTTCCCTAACGCCACATTATAGAGATTACTTAACCTTTTGAGGTCCATTATTACTGCAGATTTCCACAGTGCTAAAAGGAGGTCTTTTACCTATTTTGTTTTTCATTCTTTATGACCTTTAGAGGGACTTAAGGGCTACCCTATTGTTTGAAAGGCTGGAGGCCCTCAGGAAGCCCCCTAATGAAAGGGAAATCTGGGCACACTGCCCCCTACCTCCACACCCCAGGAGTTTTCATAGGCAGTTTACTAAGCAAGCGGCCCAATAGCTTGAATTGTCTTTTAGCTCTCAAATATAACAATCACAATGAGTTACTTTCTCCTGTGGACATCCTTTTCCTTGTTAGGACCCTCAAGTCCCTTCCAGGTACATAATGTGATGATTCAGGGCCATGGCTACTTTTCCAAACATAACTAATTTTCAGCTGACCCCAAAGTGAAAATCCAGATCAGTAATGCAGTTACTTTTTCCTGAAACACAAGCTTTCCTGGTTTAAAATCCAGTTTTGCTGTGCATGATGGTGCATACCTGCAATCCCAGAGGAGGATCACTGTGAGTTTGAGTCCAGCCTGGGCATAGGCTGCATAGCAAGTTCAAGCCTCCCCTGAACTAGATAGTGAGACCCTGTCTGAGAAAAAAAAAAAAAAAAAAGAAAAAGAAATGAAAAACCTCTACTTTGGCCTAGAGCTCTGTTCCCAGGTAGCTTTTCTTAAAAAGCCAGGCTGTTTCTTCCTTAATGGGACAAAGGTTTTTTCGGGTTTTGTTGTCGTTTTTAACACTCACACGTGGACCTTGTTCCATTTGGTTTCCTTTCCCCAGATTTCCTGCCTGCTGGGACAAATTGAACTGGAAGGTCGGAGACCCCCACTGATGGCGTCTGGCAAGTCACTGCCCTGCTTTGAGCCCTATGAATTCACCCCTAGGGCTGGTGGCTTCGTCACTGGAAGGTTTCTCACCGGCATTAAGCCTCCTGTATGTGTATTTTAGTATTTCCATTTGACTATTTTCATTATTTCTCATCTCTAGGCTCAACTATAGATGACATTGACCCCTAGCAATAACTTTGAGCAAGAACAATCAAGTGATAAATGCCAAGCCACCTGCAGTCTTACCCTTGGTCCCATGAAGACGTGGCCATGTGATGTATGCCAGTGTTACGCCAGAGCATCTGTGCTGGCACACAGCAGGCACTCAGTGTGCTGAGAAATGGAAAGATGAGTAGGACCAGTCTTGGCCGTGCCTTTTTCTGCCATGTGACCTGTAAACTGGTTAGCTTCCTTTGAAGCAGCTAGGAAAGGGAGTGTCACTCCCTGGGGGTGTTGATGTTGCCAGAAAGAGCTTCTCCTGGATATTTGTTTTACAAAGTCATCCCCTGCCCCTCAGGGACCTCCTGTGACTCATCCTCCACTATGGGAGGGTTGACTAGCTGTAACAAGTGGTTTCTAGTAGAATTCTCGCCTAAGAGAGGCTTTCTCCTCACACTCACCAGCAGTGGCTTTTTGGAGTGCAGTGCATGTCTGAAAGGCCACTAAATCCAGCCTATAAATTATTCCAAGGCCACTGACTGCCCCATAGCTCCTCTCTCCATCCTGCATAGATTCTCCTAAGGTCACCCATGGCCTCTGGCATGGGAGGGTAGAGCATTGATGCAGAGCAGAAATTTTCAGTTTCTGACTGTGACCCCTTAGTGGATTCAGAAATCATAGTAGAGAGGCTGGGAATACAGCTCAGCGGCATAGCACCTGCCTGGCAAGCACAAGGTCCTAAGTTCAATTCCCGGTACTTAAAAAAAGAAATAATCAAAAATCACAGTAGTGAGTTGTGACCAGCATTCCTTTATATAATGAAACAGAAAGGAGAGATAAAGAAAACATCAGAGTTTATTCTACTAAGGTATAGGCTGGTGCCATAAGGTTTTACTTGGAGTTTTATGTCTGTATCTGCTTGTGTGTATATGTCTGCATTTGTTGATTACCTTTATAAATGTGTCCTTACTGTGGGTTGCACTAAAAAGTTTTAGAAAACACCATGTAGTTCTGCTCACCTTGTTGGAAGCAGAAAGCAGACATAGAGGCTGAACCAGACAGTGGAGAGGCACCAGTGCCGTTTCTCTTTGGGAAGAGGCATGGGTGTGGTTCTGAGGAGGTACTCATGGATGCAGGGGGCACTTGGCCCCTGTAGACAGGACATGTTGCCTGTGATGCACTCAACCCTCGGGCAGGGAATGACCCACAACTGCAGGGGACAACAGACGTCACTGGGGGCCACTAGTGCCGTCCGAGTCAGGGGCCCAGGAGATGAGGGGGAGTGGGCCCTCTGGTCAGGAGAGGCTGCTGAGGGTATCGGCCAGAGTGATTGTCCAGGAAGAGCAGAGTGCTCACTGTCACGTTTGGGACCTGGGTCCCGCCTCCCGCAGGAGTTCTTCTTTCACTGCATGGCAGGGCGAGAAGGCCTGGTGGACACAGCTGTGAAAACGAGCCGCTCCGGCTATCTCCAAAGGTAAAAGCACCATTGTGTCCCTGTTAGATGCCCAGTACCTGTCATCTTTTGCTGAATAGTCTTTGGCTGGTAAAAACATTATGAAAGCATTCACGTGTGGCTGAGGCGGAAAACAGCAGGTATTCTTCCCCTTCCACAGAACTGGCAGAGCATGTGCTCATTGACTCGCATGTAAACCTTGCCTTCTGCAACTCTGTCAGCCCCTCAGGAACTGTGGATGTAGGGAGAGATCTCAGGCAGTGGTAAGCTTGTCCTCGTCTGAGAGGCTTGGTGGCCCAGGGTAGTGCAAGGAGTTGGGGGATCCCTGCCTATGAGTCTGTGATTAATGTTCCTTCATTTGCAGGGGTCACCTTGGGGCCCCCCAGCCCAGACCTTGTTTATTGGGAGGAAAGGGAACAAGCAGCCCTATAACCAGTCTTGATCCAGCCAGGGAGGACCAAAGTTTAAACCTGAACAAAGCCTGACTCCAGAGCATTTTAGGATGGGGCAGCAGATCCCTACATTCCAGACTCTGTCCTCTGGGGTGTAGTGTAGATGGTTGATTTGGGGGGATTTTTGGTCATGGTTCATCCTGAGCCCACAGAACCCATGTTGTTAGAAATAATGATAGGAAACAGAGATGTTAAAAATAAATTCTGTCAGACCTAGCTTCGAGTTGTGTCCTCAGGGAACTCTGCTAGCTACATTTCTCCCTCCTAAAGTTCTGCCCATCAGTTTTAGCTTCTGTTTCTAAGCTCATTTTCCAAACCCTCATACCATGCTCTGGTCCCTTCCCCCTTGATTCCCATGGCTGCAGTCCATGGGCAGTGGGGTGGGAAGGGAAAGAGTGGTATTGCAGACACACTCCTGGGTGGCCTGGTGGCAAGGATCCTGTCTATGGAGTTGGCAGTGCCCGGCAGGGAGCTAAACTCAGTGCATCCAGGGCTTGGGTAGCATGGCCCATTTGCTTACATGAACAGAGGTTATACCTACATTCCTTCTAAATTACTCAAGAACACTTGTAGTATAGAAAAATACTTGTAAACAGATGATCAGAGGGATAGAAATTTTCCATATGTGGGACAGGAGGCCCCAAGGCCCATTGAAAGCAGGGTGAGCTGAAAGAGGGTATCCGGGTTCCTGGCTGGAATAGAAGAGCAGCTGCCTTTGGGGCAAAGACACAGACATCTGCAGGTGCCACTTCCAGCAGGGAGCAGGTGGAGGCTCTCAGGTGGGGCGGGCATAGTGCAGGACCTCAGCCTGGGTTGGGCAGGCCCGGTTGGACAGTTCTGGGCTAGAGGTAGGAGGCAGTGGAAAGGAGGAAGCAGGTATATAGAGGGCATGGGGCACAAGCCTGAGTGGCAGTATGGCACAGTTGACCAGAAGCAGCAGGGTATTCAAGTAAGCACATGAGTGGACCCTTAGAGATAAGGCCTAAAGTTCAGAGAAGTGTGGGGTCATGGCCAGAGGGCCAGTTGTTGGAACCCCATGGGGTCAGCGGAGAAAGGGCTGAGGACCGACATACCAGCCTGGGCAGCAAAAGGGGGTGCACGTTCAGCACCAGCCTGGCCAGGCTCCCTCTGGGCCGCATGAGCACTGTGGTGACTAACACTGTCCTCAGAGCTCAGGGTAGGTTCAGGAGAGAGGACCTGGGCTCCTGGAAATCCCCTCCCAGGGAGACACAAGGAAAACTGAGGCAGAGTGGCCAGAGGATTAAGCAGAGGCCAGGACCAGGGCACAGTGCAGGAGAGGTTGGGCAAGGCAGCCAAACAGGAAGACTGAGGACAAAGGCCACCAGTTGAGGGGTGTTACGTCAGCATATAGTTCTGGATGACCTTTAGTGTTCCCAACAGTCAGCTGCACTGACAAAGTTCTAGAATCTTTGCCAGCTCCCCTGCCTCTCTTGCCCTGTGGTTCTGAGGATACTGGTCCCTAGGGAGCAAGTGGGCACAGGGCCTGGCCATAGCCCCAGCAGCTGGGTTAGGTGGGAGCCAGCTCTGGAATTGACAACCAAGCTTCTCAGCCACACTGCTGTGGCACCTTCTGGAAAACTAAGGAAATGCAGCCCCTGGCTGGGGGGTGCTGGAACCCAGAGCCTGGGGCACCGGAGCTGGCATGTGCTGGAGTCATGCATGGCTGCAGAACAGAGTCCCGCCTCCTTCCCCTGCATTGTCGCCTACTGGAGGTGCACCTCCAGGGACTGAGCTGCTGCTGGAGTCATGCATGGCTGCAGAACAGAGTCCCGCCTCCTTCCCCTGCATTGTCGCCTACTGGAGGTGCACCTCCAGGGACTGAGCTGCTGCTGTCCTTGCAGGTGCATCATCAAGCATCTGGAGGGGCTGGTCGTCCAGTATGATCTGACGGTCCGCGACAGCGACGGCAGCGTGGTGCAGTTCCTGTATGGGGAGGACGGCCTGGACATCCCCAAGACACCATTCCTGCAGCCCAAGCAGTTCCCCTTCCTGGCCAGCAACTATGAGGTGGGCCAGCCCTGGGCCTTGGGGATTGGGGCCTCCCATGTGGAGCTGAAGGAGCTGGCACCCTGAGCTCTGTCACCCCATTCACTGGCCATCAAAAAGTCAACAAGGAAGTATTTATACAGCACCCACCTGGGCCCTGAAACTGTTGCCATTTCCATTTCCAGTCCCCTCTGTGGACTTTGATCACATTCAGTGGTGATAAGACATGGACACCTCTGGCGTAACAGCCACTATTCGGGGCACTTTCCCTGTGGTGGGCCCTAAGCTAGAAATCAGGTTGAATACTGAGTTCATCCTCACTACAACTGGGGAAATGCAGCACTCTGCCTGTTCTATAGTGGGGGCACCTGAGCGTTAGAGCTAGAGTAACCAGCTGGTAAGTTAGCATTTGAGTCCAGGCCCGCCTGACACACACACTGGTGATTTTCATGCTGTCCTCCAGCCCTGGTAATGACCGTCACTGTTTCCTGAGCAGTTTGCATACAGTAAGTCCCCAGCTTGACAAGTCGCGTTCCAAGAGAGCGTTTGTCAGTTCCGATCATTTGTAAGTCTGACGAAGTGGGTCTCATGCACCTCTGACACAGATACACAATGTGGAGCATAAAAAACCGAACACGCCCACAAAAATATTGTAAATAAACCGTCCTGCTTTCGCAGTACCCATAAAATTGTAAGGTAGACATGTGAGCTATTTCTGTGTTTTATTCACATCTACAAGTGTTTGTAATGCAAGGTCTGTTTGTATCTGGAAAATTTGCAACTCCATTGTTCGTAAATCGGGGACTTACTGTATTGGGAAACTAAAGCTACCACAGTTTGCCCAAGATCACCTGGATGATGGCAGAATCGAGGGTCCTTTGTTTCTGGCACTTGTCCCAGCACTGTGGCTGTCTTCTTCCTTTCTTCCCAGAATTCTCTGTGTTCTTGGAGGGGCCCTGAGTGTGTAAGTCTGCCCCGGGTGACTGCTTGGCTCCTGAGACCACTGGCCCCCACGTCTGGTTTGCACATGAGGGCCCTGAACAGCAGTGGGTGTGAGGCTTCACAAGGGCTGCATGGGCCCCTGGGTCCTGTGAGCTTGTGGAGGAGCATGGCCCTTCTGTCACACTCATCTCTCGCATCTCTCATGTGCTTCGTTTATTTAGGTGATAGTGAAATCCAAGCATCTCCACGAAGCTCTGTCCAGAGGAGAATCCCAAAAAGCTCTCCGCCACTTCAGAGCCATCAAGAAATGGCACAGCAAGCATTCCAGTGCGCTGCTGAGGCGGGGTGCCTTCCTCAGTTATTCCCAGAAGATGCAGGCAGCAGTGAGAGCCCTGAACCTAGAGGGAAAGAACCAAAATGGCCGCAGCCCAGAGGCTCAGCAGGTAAAATGGGGGTGCTGTCCTTAGTTGGCTGAAGGGGTTCCCTCAGAGAGAATGATTGTGAAATCCATCACAACAGAAGTGGCACTCAAACAGGAATGTTAGGAGGGGAATTTCCTGGGGTGTGTAGGATCTGGGGCGTTACTGGGACTGGTGACTTTGGGGTTCCTCACCACCCCAGGTGTGACGGGAAGGGGAGAACAGTCACTGGAATTGGACAGCGTGGCTGTGGGCAGAGACCCATTAGAAAGAGGTCAGGCATAAAGCCTAACGCCACTCTCCTGCTTTCTGCTGTGCGGCTGGCGCCTCCCATTAGCCAGACACGGCTGGGAGCTAGAAGACAGGAGCTCTTGGAAGCAGTCACTGAGGCCACTTGTAGGGCACAGAGCCCATGGAGGAGCCTGAGTCTGGGGACTGTCAGGAATCCAGCACATTCACCTTGCTGTCCTGGTTGGCCTAGGACAGGTCTGGCTTTGCCTCTTGTCCTAGCATAATCATTAATGTGCCCCCGTTTGACTCCAGAAGAGTCCCAAATGGACAGTCAATTATGTGGTCCCCCTTAGCTGTGCTTGAGTGCCCCAGGAGGAGGAGCCTGTGGAGTCCTGGAGGAGCAGAGCACCCTGGGACACACTTAGCTTTCCCACTCTTAACTGTGGAGGTGGATTTCTCATCACAGTCAGGCTCCTGCCTTACTCCGCTCCGTGCTGTCATCTGGAACCAATGCGTTGAAGCTGCCACAGGCCGCTAGGTGTCCCAGGAGGAGCCCACTCCTGGTCTTCCTGCGTAGCTAAGACTCTCCTGCCCTTTATTCAGATATTGCAGATGTGGTATGAGTTGGATGAGCAGAGCCGTCGGAAATACCAGAAGAAAGCAGCCCCTTGTCCTGACCCAAGTCTGTCTGTCTGGCGTCCAGACATCTACTTAGCGTCTGTGTCAGAAACATTTGAAAAGAAAGTTGATGACTACAGCCAGGAGTGGGCAGCCCATGCAGAGAAGAGCTATGAGAAATCGGAGCTTTCTCTTGACAGGTGAGGACACTGAGCAGTTCCCAGTGTGTGCAGGGAGGAGATTCCCTCAGGGGTGAGACTCAGGCAGGAGGCAGAGATGTGAAATAGCAAGGGGTGCATTGCATGTCCTGAGTGGGCACCCTTCTCATTTGGGCCATGCCTTGGAACAGCCTCTGCTGGGACTGAGGCTTGCAGAACTGGCCTGTCTTGAGTTTGGTGTGGTGGCCGTGGCAGAATGAGTCAAGGAATCCATCTGGTCACTGTTCAGGTGCTGCCAACTCTGACACAGGGCAAATCACTCACTGTCTTGGGACATCATGTCTCAGCTTTTCTGAGGGCTTAGAGCTGATGACTCGTGCTCCTTGGAGCTTCGGGTTTCCAGCCTTAAGGAGGAAGTCCCACATAGAGGCCTCAGCTTGGACAGGTTCTTTCTCTCTCTGTCTCTCTGTCTCTCTCTCCCACATACATACTTCAGTAATGGACTGAAGTCAGAAGTCTAGGTGGGTGGGAAGCCACACTTGAGCCAGTAAAGAATGTCAAAGTATTACAGGGGCACCTGGGATGCTGTTCAGCATCAGTCCTGGGTCCTTCCACACAGCTCACTAAGCCGTAAAGCTGAAGACCTTGAGACCTTCTGCCCTAGTGTGGCGCATTGTTCTGGCCCTGGTAACACCGGGCAAACTGCATGGAGGGTCCTGGGGTAGGACTGAGCTGGGTGGGAGCCAGTGGAGACACATGAGCAGACAGAGCCCTCAGTGGAGGAACTGGAGGCCAGGATTCTCCTCCTTTCACATGCTTTCTCCAGTCGACCTCAGATTCCCAGCCAGCTCATCTAGCTGCCAGCTAGGCTTTCCCTAGAAGAGCAAGATCCTGACTCTCCCACCCCACCACCACTGCAGCACAGGAGGTTGCATTTACCTTCAGAAGGACCTAGAAGAACGTGCAGAGAATTGCAGCTTTACGGTGCTGCCCTTCCCCCACATGGTGATTCCCACGCATCTGCCTTTGTTGAGCCCCTTCCTTGTTCCCTGTGCCAGGTATTAGTGTTTGTGGTGGCTCTTTCTAAGAGGCCAGCCGTCATAAGGAGAGTGCTTAGTACATCGCAGACTTGTGCATCCTGGGTACTTTCGTGTAGTCTGCAGCCACTTGCACTGACAAAGCCCTTTACTAGGTACTTTACCACGTCCTTCACTGCTTAGTGAGTCTGAACCTCTTTCTGCTTTGTACATTTAAGGTTTAAGCTGTCTCCAAACTCACAGTTGGGGGTTGGGGGTGTAAGGTGAACAAAGGAAAATGTGAATAATGAGCCCAGAAACCCACTGCTTTGGGGGCCTGTAGGAACGGGCCCAGAGTGGACACGTGGCATTCTTGGGGCGCGTGTGAACATGCAAGTGTAAAAGCCTAGTGCTTCTCTGCCTGCTAGAGTCTACACTGTGTAATTTTAGGATCATAGGATCTTTAGCAAGAATCCACAGATTTGTGTGGGCAAGGTGGGCCATCTGGTCCCAGCTCCTGACCCGCTCTCCCCTGTGCCATCTCCAGGCTGAGGACCCTGCTGCAGCTGAAGTGGCAGCGCTCGCTGTGCGACCCGGGTGAGGCCGTGGGTCTGTTGGCTGCCCAGAGCATCGGGGAGCCCTCCACGCAGATGACCCTGAACACCTTCCACTTTGCTGGCAGAGGCGAGATGAACGTCACCCTGGGCATTCCCAGGTGGGTCTGTCGGGGTGTGGGAAGGGGGAATCCTCCCTGCCCCTTGTGGGCAACGAGTCATTAGTGAGAAGGAGAATTGTCCCATGAGCAAGAAACACTGGGTCTCATGAGAGTGGGCGGCAGTGTTGGAGTTTCCAGAGATGACTGATTTCAGAAATAAGACACAGCCCTGCATTAAGGAGCAGGCACTCCAGGGAAGAGTCTGGGGGAGAGTGAGCCGGGGCTCTGACCGAGCAGATTCCCCTGCAAGACCCCAGGGCCCCTCTCACATCTCAGTAGAGCTCTTTAAAGAGGCTTCCTGCAGACAAGGGATCTGGTTACCTCATAATGTGATGTGCCCTTGTCCTGAGGCAGGTTGAGGGAGATTCTCATGGTGGCCAGTGCCAACATCAAGACGCCGATGATGAGTGTGCCCGTGTTCAACACCAAGAGGGCACTGAAGAGAGTGAAGAGCCTGAAGAAGCAGCTCACCAGAGTGTGCCTTGGGGAGGTAACCCATGTCCAAGCTGCGTGCCTCGGGGAGGGTGAGCCTGTGTCCTCCCATCGGGGCAGAGCAGCCTTTGCTGACTGCTCAGACCTTCAGCTCAAGTTCCCAAAGGGAAAGAGCAGCCAACTTTGCCCAGTACTGAGCAGGAATGGATCTAGAAGCTTTTAAAGCTAATCACCTTTTGTGCCTAGAACTTGCAGTGAGCCTTTCCTGGGTTCGTGTACCAGCCCCGCAGATGCCTGTTCCTCACAAGCTCTGGCCACTCTCCAGAGGTTTCCAGCTGTGGCCCTGCTCCCCCTGAGGAGTCCCGCCAGCAGAGCACACTAGAGTTTTGTTGGAGTTTGGGGCCATCCACTGTCTCCTCAGTCCTTTGGTTTCCCACAACCCACTTGTGGTACAGTTACCTGGGACTTGGACAAAGCAAGTTCTCCTCATCTCTCTTGTTCTAGGTGTTGCAGAAAGTTGACGTTGAGGAGTCCTTCTGTATGGGGGAAAAGCAGAACAAGTTCCGGGTGTACCAGCTGCAGTTTCACTTCCTGCCACATGCATATTATCAGCAGGAGAAGTGCCTGAGACCCGAGGACATCCTGCACTTCATGGAAACAAGGTCAGGACGTGGACCATGTTTGTCACTGCCCTTGACGCACACAGCACGCTGCTGCTCACAGGGCTCCTGTGTTTGCCCAGTGCGCCCTGTAGGGGAAGCTTTAGGAAAACGGCAGGCCCGGCAACCTAGTCTGAAAACCTGACCAAAAGTCTGGCATGAGGGTATGACTTTGTGGGCCACACATCATGCCCTGAAACATGTTCTCTTTTTGGTTGATGGGTCAAGATTATTTCAATCTCAAGTTTGCAGTGTTCAGACAAGAAAATACGTGTACGAGAAAAGAGCCCCGTCATAGGAGCCTCTGATTCCGACCAGCTTGGGGTGTTAATGTTTGATGGGACGTGATTCTGGGCAGCATAGTATGTTTTATAGTCCGCTAATCATGGGCAGTGAGCTGATGGCATGCTGCTTTTAAACCCCAGTTCTGTGACTAGGGCTACCTGCACCTTTTTCCAGAGGACCAGAGAAATTCTGGTTCTTGTCTCGTGAGGAGAGTGAACTTCTTGTCTTAAGTTAAGTTACTGTTGTACATTTGAAGAGTGTAGGCCATAATGCTGAGTGCGCAGGAGCAGGAACACGGGCCCTTTGGGACTGGAACAAGTGGGAAGGAGCCAACGAAGTACTTTCACCGCACCCACTGCAGAGCCCAGCAGGTAGTTGAACCTGTGACGTGGGTTGAGAGGCCCCTGGCAGACTCCAGGCTGTGGAAACTGCTTCAGGATTGATTGTCACTCTGCAGGAACATGGGCCAGGGCAGCCAGGTGTTCTGATTTTTTCTTAATATTTTTTTTCTTTCTTTGGTTATGTGGCTATATGCTTTTGCTTTTACTTAAAGAGGAAAAAAAAGTCTGGTAACTTAGTAAATACCAGCAACTAACTCTATACTTTTAAAAGCCTGCTAAGCAAAATCGATCTCATCCATTGGTGGGCTTCGCCTCAGGCCACTGAGCACTGCCTCTGCTGTAAACCAGCACAGGTCTTGCCAGAGCTGCTAGATGTGGGGAACCAAGGCAGCGCAGAGGAGAACGCTCCCCTGCTTTCACTTACCCGCACGAGTCAGTCACTGAGCCAGGCGGGGCTAGGAGAAGGTGACTTTCCTGCCTTCTGCCCTCCACCCTCTACTCCTTTCCCAGAAGATGAGGCCTGGCTGCAGGGCAGCCCCCTGTGCAGGTGGCATTTAAGATGGTAAATGATCCTTGGTCTGAACTTAGCCTTGTGGACATGGGTCACTTGCCAGGTACACCCTGCCCCAGGAGACACAGGTCCTGGGTGGGATTGCTAGCTGAGCCTTGGGGTGCACCCACCTGGAAGGTTCGTTCCATCAGGCAGTCCTCCATGCACTCTGGGTTGCTGGGCAAAGTGACAGGAGAGTAGCATGTGCACCGGCCTGCCAGCTTGTTAATTAAGAGAGGGCCATGACTCCCAGGTGTGGCCCAGCAGCCGTCTTCTGAGAAGTGGGAATTAGGATCACACAGCCTCCGGAGACCAATGGAGTCGGGTGGGGTCTGTGGTCTGCCTCCTATCTGTGCACCTGAGCTCTGGCCTCCAAGCAGGTAGGCCTGCATAAGGCATACGCTGGGCTGTGCTCAGGGCTCTCCACTGACATTACCTCATGGAACTGAAAACAGTAAATCACTTTTTAAAACTTCCTTCCTGGTAAGTGAGAGCCCTGGCTTGTTCCCAGCCATGAAGTACTTCTTGACTTCCTAGTTCGATTTTCCTTTTGCCCTTGAGCAGCTGCGATCAACAAGGCCATGTCAGGCACCTGGATGGAAGTAGTCTGGTGGCTCCAGCAGAAGGGCCCTGAGGTTTCCAGCAAAGATTAAAGAAGGAGCCGGCTCTGAATGGGGCGGAGGTTAGAGTCCCAGTGTGGGCCCAGCAGCGGTGCAGCCTTATTAAGGCCTCTGTGTATCCACAGGAAGTGGAAGTGGGCAGAGTGTGCTTTCAGAAGAGCCACCCTTCCTCCCTGGAGCAGTTTCTCCTTTTCTCCCTTTCTTTCCTTTCTTCCTGTTCTCTCCACCACCCTCTTTCCTCTCTCCTCCCCTCCCTTCATTCCCAGCTGTGGGATCATGAGACTTCCTTTGACCTACAAAGGAGCTAAGTGAAGAGACAGAGAGCTGCTTCTGTGGGTGGAGATGTGTAAGCACCAAAGCTGCCTGGCTGTCTGTCCTGGCACTCGCCACCTTGAGTATTTGTGCTAAGGATCTGGAGGTGGGCAGGAGATGAAGAAGAGCACTGGGCTAGGCGTTGGGGGCCATAGGTCTTGGCCTCCTGTCCTGGGCATGAGCTGACCCTGCTGGCCATCCCTGCAGTTTGAATGTCTGTGACGCTTAGCTGCACCTAGCAGGTGGTGGAGTTGTTAGCAGGCACTTTCAGAAACAGCCACGGGTCAAGTTCCTGGTTTGTAATTATTTATGTAGGCTGAGAGGTTCCTCTGCCGCCTACCCCTGCGGTTCCCTTTCACTTGCACTCTGACAGCAGCACCTTAGAAAGTAGTTCTTATGCACCACCTCTTCCCTTGCTCTCGGCAGAATCCCAGAAAGGGAACACTGGCACATTGCCACATGCCTGCCACACACCGACCAGTGTTTATAATGCTCCCTTGTGATCCCCCAGGTGCCACCCATCCAGGTCGCCAGACAGGCAAGCAGGTCCGAAAGGGTTCCCTCCAGGGGTATCAGGGAGGGCTTCCTGGAGGAGTTGCATCTTCACTTTGACCCAGCGTGATGAACTGCAACAGTGGTCCGGTAGAGGGGACCCGCCCCCTGGTGTCGCTCCATCTCTGCTCTGTGCCGTTGGCTCATGTGGGAGGACAGCGGCCCGAGTTGCAGACAGATCCTGGTGCTCCTCTGCAGGCTGGCACAGAACCTTCCCCGCCCCTCTGCAGTGCGACCCGGCCTCCTGTCCCCATGCCCAGCGCCTGGTGAACAAGAACACCACTAGATGAGTGGGTGAGGAGCCTTTTTTCTGCCAAGAACAGAAATTGTAGCAAAACTGTGTACCTCTTTTAAAGGTTACCAAAAAACCAAAGGAAGTTTTGAATGAGCAGAATAGTAAACATGTAACCCACCCACTTTCCAGATTAAAACTTGGCTCCTTAGGGGCTGGGAACCCGCCATCTCCCTCATCTTGCCCCTAGGGCTAGCACGTCAGCCTGGGGTGGGCTCGCAGAGCCAGGGATGTGTGTGTGAGGCGCCGAGGCTCCTGCAGCTGGAAGTAGTCCAGGTCAGTCAGCTCTTCCAGCCTGAGGAAGAAGAGGCCAGAGGGGGTCTGAGAGCAGCAGCAGTGTGGAGGGAGCGGAGAAGCCCTGATTCAGGAAGAGGGACCAGGGAAGCTCTGCGCGGCCGTGGGTTCCTTCCAGCTGGTGTGGTTCTAACCCCTCAGCATGATTTATTGCCGCAAAGTAAGCTGTCACCATCCTTTGAAATTCTGATGAGCTTTTCTGAACTCTCCGTTCTCTGTCCCAAATGAGAGGCCTCCTAGACCAAGGAGAAGGGGCCTCTGGCCCAAGCAGCACAGCTTCCTAGAGATGCTGTGAGTGGCAGGCAAAGTACCTCTCCCCATCCTGGTTAGGTGACAGCCACAGTGACACCAGTAGCTGTCATTTTCAGACACATGCCCTGCCAACCCCCAGGAAAGGAATCAGACGCAGGCAGGGTCATTTTGATTAAGATTGTATTGTACTAATACTCACATTGTATAAACAAGCAGTTATAGTAAGGAAGCTACATAGGCTCAAAGTAATGTAGTCCAGGAGTGACCGAGCCAGTGACCAGGCCAGGTCTTCCTGCTCAGAAAGGAGAGGGGCAGCGAGTGGATAGGAGAGACTGGCCTCTATCGCATGCATTCGTCTCCTGCGGGAGTCCCTGCCCCACCACGGGGGGAGGGCAGGCCATGCCAGTATTGACCATTGTCTTCTCACTTCAGGTTCTTCAAACTTCTGATGGAATCCATCAGAAAGAAGCATAGTAAAGCATCAGCCCTCCGAAGCGTGAACACTCGGAGAGCCACACAGCGGGATCTCGATGATGCTGGAGAATCAGGGAGGGCTCGGGTGAGCAAGGCCTGGACCACATGGGGCCGCGTGGAGACAGTCCCAAGGCTGGGAGGGACAGAGGGGTCCTGCAGTCTTCCTTCTGGGGAAGGCTCTGTGACCGTTCTCAGCACTGCAGGCCCCTTCCTGGTAGCACCCATCTCTCCACTTACCTCAGCGTTTGTCTGCCGTCTCCTGGAGGATGGTGGGCTGGGCTGGGGAGGCTGCAGCTGCTGTGGTCTGACTAGCCCTGGGTCAGGCCTCAGGACTTCCATCTGCCCGCTGCCATCCCCTCAAGGGCCCTATGTAGGAGGTTTTCATCCTGGAGACGGACTTTCAGTAGCGGTGTGCACAGAGCCTTGAAGGTTCTCTTTCTGATTTCATTGTCTCCTCCAGGCCAGATGAACCGAGCCCCACCAGAGAACTGGCGGGAACCAGAGAGACAGTTTGTAATAAAGAAGGCAGGTCTCTTTAAGACAGAAAGGGCTGGAGGAGGATTGTCTTGATGGAATACTGAGTGATTTAAAAGCTGGGTATTTAAACCCTTCCGCCTTTTCCCATCCTGCAACAAAATTGATTAAAAATATCTGGAACGGTATTTTACACCATCTTTTAAGGACTTGAAAAACCCTAGCACTTTTTTTCCAAATGAAAAGTTTTACAGGTGGTGTATATAGAGTCTGAAATAAAGCAAGCCTGGAATCCAGGGCCAGCCCGTGGGTGTGGGCTTGAGGGGTAGCTGGACAGAATCGATGGAAGAAGAGTAGGTAGATGGACCGGGGAGGTGGCAGTGGGTGTAGTGATGGCCAGGAGGGTAAGTGGAAAGGTGGGTGAATGGGTGGCTACATAGGTTTGTGCAGAGACACAGGTATTCATGGAGCACCAGGTTTGGAACTAATCGTTTCCCTTGTCCTCAAACCACAGGGAGAGCAGGAGGGTGATGAGGAAGATGAGGGGAACATTGTGGATGCTGAAGCTGAGGAGGGGGATGCTGATGCCTCTGACACAAAATGCAAGGCCAAGCGAGAAGAAGAGGTAGGGGGACTCTGGCTGAGGTGAAGGGTCGGAGGTCATGTCCCTCCTCTGGCACTGGAAAGCCATGGCCTCTGTGTCCAGTGGGAGCCCGCGAGAGCCCTGCAGCGTGGCCTGCCTGTGCGGCACATCTCTCGACTGAGCTGGTGCGGTTTAGAGGGTGGGAGTTTGATAATGGCCTTCTTAGGGATGCCCCTGGATTTGAGTGTCCCCAGATTTGAATCGGATGCAGGACCCGTGGAAGCCTCCGGTCACAAGTCAGGCTCCCCCTGTTCTGCAGTGCAGGTGTGATACTTCGCCCACTGCACCCCAGACTGGTCCTGCTGTCACAGTCTCCGCAGAGACAAAGGGCAGGCCCAAGGGACCACACAGGGAATGCTCAGGCAGTGTGTGGAGTGAGAGAGCCAGAAGGTGGGAAGGAAGGTAACCAGACCAGGGCAGAGAAGCTGGAAGTAGGGGCGGGTTGGGCTCTGTGGGCGGGGCCAGACACAGCCTTTGTAAGGTGCTTGTTGCAGACACAAAATGTAGGTCCACTCTTTCCTGCCAGGTGGATTATGAGAGTGAGGAAGAGGAGGAGAAAGAGGAAGAGGAAGATGATGAGGACACACAGGATGATGGGAACATCCATGGTGAAGATGCCAGCCAGGCCCATGAACCAGATGAAGAGGTGGGCTCAGGCCCCGAGGAGGACCTGGCCCAGAAACCTCAATGCCGCCGCCGCCGCCAGGAGCCCCAGGGAGCCGAGGCTGTGGAGCGGCGCATCCAGGCCGTGCGTGAGGCCCACTCATTCATTGAGGACTACCAGTACGACACCGAGGCGGGCCTGTGGTGCCAGGTCAGTGCGGTGCACAGCTGGGTTCAGGATCAGGCGCCGCCTACCGCATGTCCTCAGGTGGGCCTGCCACAGAGCTCCCTCCAACAGTCATGAGGCGGGGCAGCCACTTTCCCAGCGTGCAGGCTGTGAGAGTTCCGAATCTGGTGACATCTGGACCCTCTGCTCCAGAGCACAGCCCCGCGAGTGCCACTTTCAGACCCCCAGTGAGCCAGGGCCCTCTAGTTGCTCAGGAACAGGGTGAGTCTCATCGGCCAGGCCCTGCAGAGTCTTTCAAAGCTGTCACCTCACTCAGTCCTCAGCACACTGGCATTGTTGACTCACCCGCCCACCAGCAAACAGGAAGCTGAAAGCTGCCCACACACATGGCCTGTGGTTCCTTCAGGGCTGGGTGGTGTAGAAGCCTCAGCAGTTCACAGACTTACTTCTCATCTTCCCTTGGGCCTGCGTCGGTGGTTCCCACATGGTCGCATAACTAACAGGACTCAGGGATGGGATCCCAGGCCCGGAGCAACATGTACTGTGCTTGTTGTCATCTGAAGGACAATAGGGCACAAGCCCCTGCCTCGTCACGGATGTCTGCGACAGTGCAGCTCCGCTGTTCCCACCTGGAATGTGAGTGAGCGAAGGTGGCTGCTCCATGGGGTCAGTAAAGCCACCTGGTGTTCAGGCCCCTGGCAGCTCACGTGGCAGGCCCTCCTCCCCAGCCAGCATGTCACCAAGAGGGCTTTTAGGGCACCCAGGAGGCTGGCACCTCCAACCCCTAACTCTCACTCCTCTTGTAGGTGACGCTGAAGCTCCCTCTGATGAAAATTAACTTTGACATGAGCTCCCTCATCATGTCCTTGGCCCACAGCGCTGTCGTCTACACAACCAAGGGCATCACTCGGTGCCTCCTGAATGAAACCACCAACGGTAAGAACGAGAAGGAGCTTGTGCTGAACACGGAAGGGATCAACCTCCCGGAGCTGTTCAGGTATTCCGAGGTACGTGTCCGCTTCCTGAGCTGTTCGTGCTTGGAAGTTGTGTTCCCCATACTGCGTGCACAGGTCCTCTCCCGCCCCTGGAGACTTGAGATGGGCACGGGAGCCTTGCACAGCCTAGGGAACAGAAACGTGGTGAACTTCAATCCACAGTTTCCAAGGTTTTTTAGTAGTTTTTTCCTTGAAGTTTAGACCTTCCCAAGGTAGGTGAAAGAAGTGTGTTGTGTCGCTGGCCTAGATCTGCTCACTTTACCCAGTGAAAGAGGCCCCGCCTAGCCCAGCACACCCTGCAGTGCTGGCCAAGGCCCTGCGCCCCTGTCCCCACCCGCTCTGCAGCACGCTCATCCTGTCTGAGTTGCTCTCAGCTCTGGACACAGGGGTTCCCCCACAGCATACTAAGGAACTTGGGGCCCCCAGCCCCTTTTCCCTCACCTGGCATTCGGCCAGCAGAGCCCTCCTGCCTTGCCCGCTTCTTCCTCCACCAGTAGCTACCCTGGAAGAGGAGCAGGAAGAGCCTGCGGCTCCTGTGAATCAGCTCCCACCTCCATGGGGAGTGCTCTGGGTTCTGCGTGCTTGCAGGGTTCATCTTGGCAAGGACCAGGCAGGTCGCCTGTCTCTCTTCTGTGGAATGTCCTGGTGCTGGGGCAGTGCCCCTTGCAGGCACAGTGCAAAGCCACTGAGGGCTGCTCCAGGACGGCTCAGTTGGAGCCTCACCCTCTGGTGAGACCTGACAAACCCCCGTGGCCTATGCCCGCCCATGTGTCATGGAGAGAGATTTGGGGGCCCTCTGCTGAGGGAGCCATCCTAGTGAACAGCTCTCTCTGTGTAAAGAATTTTCTTCTTACGGAATCTGAAGTGTGTCCTCAGTCATCCCCAGACTCTGGTCACGGCAGCAAGACAGGCCTGGAGCCTGGCCAGCGGGTCGTCAGCTTCCCTTGCACTCATCCTGGCCGCCTCTGCATACTTCGTCATCGGTTGTGCTGTTACCAGGCACGCAGTGCAGCATGGCCGGGTGGAGGGTACGTAGACAGAAGGAGCAGGAGGCTGGGCACTGAGCTCCTCCTTCCTCTCCAGGTGCTGGACCTGCGCCGACTCTACTCTAATGACATTCATGCCATGGCCAACACGTACGGCATCGAGGCCGCACTGCGGGTGATCGAGAAGGAGATCAAGGATGTGTTTGCCGTGTATGGTAGGAGAGGCGCCCTAAACACCCAGAGGATCAGGCTTGAGTTAGCTCTGTGCCCAGGTGGAACTGAAATGTGGGTGCAGTGCAAGCACAGTAGGTGCCCACAGTGTCTGAGCGTCCCTGGAGGGAGCATGAGGAGACGGCAGCTTCATCAATGAGCCACTCACTGCTTTCTCAGCAGCTGGTGTCTTTGGGAAGCTCCAAAAGTTCAGTGATTTGGCCCATCTTGCCTGTAGGGCTCTGGTTCCCCAGGAAAAACAGTACAGATGGGTCATCACTTCTGAGGCTGCAGGACGGGTGGGACCAGGACAGGGTGGTCCCCAGACCAGGCACAGAGGTGACAGCCAGGAGGGAGCCCCAGGGTGTGAGCTGGAGGCTGCTGGACCTGTGTCTGGTGATGCTTCCCAGCTGTCCCCGTCGTCACTGCTTAATCCTTCCCGCTGTTACCACTCCCATGACAGGCATTGCAGTGGATCCTCGCCATCTGTCCCTGGTTGCTGATTATATGTGCTTTGAGGGTGTTTACAAGCCACTGAATCGCTTCGGGATCAGGTCAAGCTCCTCTCCTCTGCAGCAGATGACGTTTGAAACCAGCTTCCAGTTCCTGAAGCAGGCCACCATGATGGGTCAGTGTGGGCCATGGCCTGTCCCACGGGCACTTTCCACAGCACCTTGCACTCAAGGGAGAACTTAGAATGGTAGGGGCTCCCCTCTTTAAAGGTGGGAGCAGCACTACAGCATGGCTGTCGGCCAAGGGACTCAGGATGAGGCCTTGCACACCTCAGCGTTGGGCATGCCCCTTATCTCCTCCTATCACCCTCAGCTTTCCCCACAAACCCCTGACATAGACTCTGTGTCTCCCACAGGATCCCACGATGAGCTGAAGTCCCCTTCAGCCTGCCTCATGGTTGGGAAGGTCGTCAAGGGCGGAACAGGCCTGTTTGAGCTCAAGCAGCCCCTGAGATAGCAGCTGCTGCGTGCCATCTGCCCACTGGAGATCCTGGGTGTGGGCGTGGCCAGCTCAAGAGAGAGCCGGAAGATCAGGCTCCAAGGTGGTTCAGAGTGGCAGTCCAGAGCGCAGTAGCAACCTCAGGCTCCAGAAGCAGAGCTGGGCTTTGGGCGGAAGTGGAAAGCGGCACTTTTGCTCCTCCCTGCCCCATCTCAGGACTGTTAACAGCGCTCTCTGAGTCCCTCCAGTATGGCTGGGGCTTCACATGCACTGCAAAATTGTGAGGAGAAGCCGCAGGATGTTTCCTGGAGGACCAAGGACACAAGGATTTGTGTGCAGCTGTTGGGGACCCACAGCGCCTCCAGTGTACGGAAGTGAGATCCTGTTGCTGTGAGTGCCAGTGACTGCAGACAGGATGCCTGGGGTCTCCAGTGAGTGGAAACATAGATCCGGCCACCCCTTGGCCTGCCCTCCGGGCTCTTCCGACATCTTGGGACAGGGTACCTGGAGTCCTCAACCCAGGACTGCTTCCATGGCCAGGGCAGGGCAGCACAAACCTCCACTAACCCAGCTATGCTTGCACTGCAGCAGGGCCTCTCCAGGGCCCCAGCAGTCCCCCACGCAGAAATCCCCACTCGGGCCTTGGCCATGCTGCCGGGCTTCCCCGGCTGTGCCCTCAGGGTTTTCGAGGCCCGTGGCTCCGGCCATGCCCTCGGCACCCTGCACAGCACCAAGGTGCCTGGCTTGAACAGAACAGGCAGAGGCCTAAATAGAGGCTTCATAAAAGCAGAGGCTGTTTCTATTTTTGTCCAATGTTATTCCTACTCAGGCTAAGCAATAAACACCACTGGAACTAGCTGTTGGGAGGGAAGGGAAACCCTGACTTGTGTTTTTCCTCTGCTTTGTGGGTTTCTGCATTTGGAGTTCAGAACCCAGAACTGAGATTTTTCTTGGCACAGTTAGACCTCACTCCCTCTTTTTGCTTTCATCCGAGATTGTGGGGGCAGATCTCATCCCATACAGGCCCCCTCACCACCACCCCCATCTGTCCCACCATTGTCCCCTTCCAGCTCTCACCCAGTGGCCGAAAGGAAGCACAGGACAAAAACTGGGGGCAGGAGCTGTGCTCCAGCAGGTTGGGGAGCTGCAGTGCCCTCAAAGGTGGGATCGGAGTTAAAGGTAGGCCTTGCCAGGAGAACAGGACTACACTGCTCCCCCCAGACATGCCTCCTGCACCTGCACGTGACAGGGTCTGCCGGGCTGGCCACGCTTGGACACGGGAATACAAAAGCTGCCAGGGGAGTCCAGGGCAGTCCCTGTGGAGCCTGCTGCAGAGGCCCAGCCTGCAGGGTGAGGCACTCATTCTTGGAGATGCAGGCTGACTACGCTCAGTGATTTCCACTTAGACTAGAATTGCAAGAGAACCCTCAAAGGAGATCACAAGGTACCCCAGTGCTGCAGCATCTGCAGATGAATGAGTCCACAGTTCCATGGCATCAGCCCCACCCAGGCCTGGAGGGCATGAGGATAGACGAGCAGCCCCTGAGTCCTGGCAGGGCTACAGACCCCCATGCTCCATCAACCAACCTGTGCTGGGACACGAGGTGATGGTCTCTGTCCCCACAGCTCTTTTTACACCTTTATCTCCTCCCGCATGGATGAGCAGAAAACAGCGCATCTAGTTTTTAATGAGATGTTGCAGTGTCTGGCCGGCTGTGACATCTTTGCAGTAGCCTTAGGGTTGCGAATCCGGTTCTTTGCGGTGCCCTGGAGTTTTGGAAAGAGCTGTTAATAGGCCTGCGACAAATTTGATGAAGAAGATAGAGCAGTTGCAAAATCTCTGCTTATTTTTGTTTCTTGTATTTTTTTGTGGGTTTTTGTGGTTTTTTGGCAATACTAACTCAAGGTTGAGCCCAGAGCCTCCTGTATGGTGGGCTACAGTGAATAAAACGCTATGAACAAGGGGTGGTGATACACACTTGTAGTCTCACGTTCTGGTTTGTGTCTAGATGTCCCCCCCCAAAACCTCAAGCAGTCCTGGGGCGGGATTCTAGAGTTTTTGATTGATCCACGGTCCAATGCTGGGATTATTGGTGTAAGTGCTATACCCGCCCTGGGGCGGGTAACCTGTGCACAGTATAAAGGAGGGAAAGAGGCTCGCTCTTGCTGCTGTTCCTTTTTGCTCTTGCCACTGTTGCTATTTTCTGCCCCCATGAACTGTGCCCTCTGCCATGTGCCACTCTGCCTTTGGAGCCAGCCAAGTATGGACTGAAACTCCCACAAACTGAGCTAAATAAACCTTTCCTTCATTTTGGGTGTCAGGTATTTTGTCTCAGCAACAAGAGGAATGTAAGACATCCCAACACTCAGAAGGCTGAGGCAGGAGGATTGCTGTGAGTTCAAGGCCAGCCTGAACATAGCTTGACCCTTTCTTTAAAAAAAAAGAGCTATGAACAGAGACCTTGCTTTCTCTGGGGTATATACCTAGAAGTGGAATTGCTGGATCCTATGGCAGTTCTTTCTAAAATTTTTTTGAGAACGCTCATGTCTTTTCTACAGCAGCTTCACCATGTTAAATCCCCACTGGGTTCCAGTTTCTCCACATCCTTGTTACTTTCTACTTTGATTTTTCTTGTTATGTAGTAGCCATCCTGGTGGGTAGCAGGGAGTCTCGTCGTTGGTTTGGTGTTATAATCAAATGGTGGCGCCCTTAGGTGGTGTGCATCTGTAGACCTGCTAAGGTTAGGGACCACTTAGGAAGTGTTCGCTGCTTGCCAGTCTTAAAGTGTTTGGGCTCATGATTGAAAAGACTGCTATAGGAGTGTAGAAAATGCTCTTGAAATGGGAGAGATTAACTCTTAAGGCTGGTGAGGTGGAGAGTCATCAGCAACTCCCCGTGGAGCGACTGTACGGCAACCCCTGTGTGAGAGGTCACACAGCTTAGGTAGCAGAGAACCCTGAGCCTGTTACAGCTCTCCTGACCTTGGGCGGTTTTACTTCAATTGCAGCCACTCAAATAGCTATGGTCAAAAATTTCCCATTTCCTAAGGCATCAACCCCTACTTCCCTCTTGGCCAAAGTCAGCTTAGATCAGAGGTTCTCATTCTGCACAGTGGAAATGCCTGGGGAATTTATGAAGAGGCGTTTCAGCGCCACACCAAGATTCTGATTTAATCTGCCTGGGTGTGGCCTAGTATTAAACGATCTCTGGGGGCCCTGGTGTGGAGCAGAGAATCACAGGATAAGCCCTACACTGGAAATTTGCAGCCACTGGCATCTCCTACCAATATGATGACTTAGGGAGTGAGTCACTGGTGCTGGGTTCTCCCTTAACCTCTTCAGCGCTGATTCCTGCGCGCTCTCAGGATATGTACAAGACTGGGAGGCAGGGCAGAGCTCACCTGGTGCCCATAGCTGCAGGGGATTACAGCGGGCTTCAGTGGAGCCCACCGGCAGCCCTCCTGTTGCTCACAAAGCTGACGAGGGTGCGCTGCTTACAGCACTGCCTGCACTGCCTCCCAGCCTGCCTGGTAGGGCTCTGCTTGTCCAGCTTAAAGGTCCTGCCGCTGTGACCCCAGCAGGGCCAGAAGAGGGGACACTTGCTCAGCCAGGATTTTCCCAAAGCACCATGAGATGTGTCTGTTCAGAAAGTGGAACCTCAAATATCTTATGGAAATTATGCCTTGAGTCCTTAGGCAGCAACTTGGTGCCCCAGTGAGTGGGGATAAGGAAGCCCACAGGCTCAGCTGCCCCCGGGGCTGCGCGGGTGACTGCAGAAACAGAGTGATTGTGTGCTCACTCTTTGTTCCCTACTCCACCCCACCTGATGTTCTCTGGGCAGACTGTGACGCCTCTCCCCATAGAACTTGAGTCCAGTGCCGCAAACACGCAAGCCAATGGGAAACAGCTTCGTGGTTGCCAGGCCAGAGGCTGAGGTGCCCAGAGCACCTGTGAGCATGCACAGCACCTGTTCCAGGTAGGACTGGGCCCAGCTGCCTGCTCCTTGAGAAGAGGGAAGAGGCATCTGGGTGCTCAGAGGCCAGAAGGCAGAGAAGCAAATCAGGAGTCCTCTGAGTGTGGTAGCTCATGCATAGTGCTGGTCATCCCAGTATCTGGGAGGCTGATGCAGGAGGATCATCCTGAGTTCCAGGCCAGCCTGGGCTATGCAGTGAGACCCTGACAAAAACATCAAGATTCCAGTCACTGCACTCCCACCTCATTCCCCCACTAGAATGACAACTCAGCCTTCGCCCTCAACTATATACAGTGGTACATGTGGAGTTCTGTGTGGTCCAGCCACATTCAGCTATCTGATCTTTGACAAAGGAAAGATAGCCTCTTAATAAGTGGTGCTGGGAAAACTCATTATCCACATGCAGAAAGCTGACTTTAGACCAGTATCTCACACTAACTTAAAACAAGCAATCTGCTGGAAAGTAAAATAGGCAAAACTCTTGAAGATGTAAGTAGGCATGGGGTCTCTGAACAGAACCCTCGTTGCACAAAAAATAGCACCAACATTCAACAAATGGAATTGTATCAAATTAAAAAGCTGCACAGCGCAGGAAACGAGAAACCTACAGAGTGAGACTGAGGAGATAAAAGTGAGATAAAGGTCCTACTGTGCAGTAAAAGGAAATTAATACAGAACTGAAAAGCACAAACAAAAAAGGAATAAGTGGAGGAAAAAAGGAAAAAACTCTAAACACCTAAAAACAATGCAGAGGGGAAAATTGAGTTTCTTTGTTTTGAGACAGGGTCTCAGTATGCAGTTCAGGCTGGCTTTGAACTGACTGTGTAGCCCAGGCTGGCCTCAGATTCACAACAATCTTCCTGCCTCAGCCTCCATAGTGCTGAATATGCCACCACACCTGGCTTGAGGCAAAAAAATGAATTTTTTTCCTCTGTATTTTTGAATGAATGGTTTCTTCCCAGGATCAGATGTTTTGGCATCCAGCAAGTCATGGTTTTCTCTGCCTAGCTTTACAGCCCTGAGTTCATGAGGCGCCTTCCTTGTTTCAGAAGCCCCTCTGTCCATACACCCCAGGCTATGACAGCCGTCCAAGCCTAGACACATCCCTGCTCGTCTTGGTAGCTGTGGAAAGCAATCAGACGGATCTCTGCTGGATGTAGGTGGCCAGACGGGGCTTCAAGCAGACCCCTGGACTTAATGCTGGCACTTTCAGACCCAGTCATCTCTGAAAACCACACATGCTGACCCTGACTTCTACCATGGAGAGTGGGACTCATATCCTTCCCAGGCTGAGCTTAAACTTCCATGACGGGGGTCTGTGTCCAGCCTGCACTTGCTCCACAACTGTCTCCTATGGCTGTCTCTCACCCAGTCACTGTTGGAAGGTAATTGTAATGGCTTGTGTCTAGATGTTCCCCCAAAGCCTCACACAGTCATAGGTGGGGCTTTTTAGAGGTGGCTGACTACAGTGTGTGACCCTGGGATTGATTCATAGTGCAATGGTAGGATTGAAGGTGCTAGGATTAAAGGTGTGAGTGCTACCCACCCTAAGAACAGGTAGCCAGGATAAGACATAGGGATAGAAAGAGACTTCTCTCCTGCTTGCTTTTGCTGTCTTCTGCCTGCCATTAAACTATTTCTCTTCTCTGACACCCATCTACCATGCTACCCTGTTTTGGAGGCAGCCAACTATGAACTGAAACCTCTGCAAACTGAGCTGAATAAACTTCCTCCTTTAACTTTGAGTGTCAGGTATTTTGTCTTAGCAGTGAAAGAAGTAACTGAGTCCTATAGTGAAGTTCTTTTGTAGTTCTTCTGTGGCTCAGTCTTAAGCAGTCAACCCCTTCCCAAAATGGCTCCTGACTAAAAACTCCTTGTTTATATTCTTTGTCCATTTTTCTATTGAAGTATGTCTGTTGCTTTTATTATCAATTTTAAGGAACTGGTATTTGCCTTTTGTCCTCTGCTTTAAATACTTTTCTCTTGAACAATGCAATACAGGTGAGTCAATACAGGTGAAGAATTTAGTGCAGACCCTGCACTGTGATGAAATCTTGAATAAGGAGGTCTGCTCTGAACTAGTGGCACACATCTAGTCTGAACTATGTAGAAGGCTGAGTCAGGAGAATCACTTGGCCCTAGGAGCTCTAGACCAACTTGGGCAAAATAGAAAGTCTCTGAATTAAATAAATAAATAAACTAACAAAAAAAGAGGTCAGTTTTTGGTTGCCCTGGCAGTGATTATGCTTAGCCTTTAGTTAGGGCTACTGGAACATTTTCTGAGTTACCTAGATTGACAAAAACAAAGTATCCATTGTGAGGGACTAATAATGCTATACTTAGGACAGTATGTCCAGATGTTCTGGAGAGACTGAGGCAAGAATTGAAAATTATGAGAAGTCAGGAGCAAAATGAGGCCAACCCTGCCCCTTTCCGTGACTTCTGCTGAGCTCAGATACAGATACGGACCCCCGTGTATCTGGAGCCTGCCGCGTGTGGGCCCAGGCCAATTCCTCCACGTGTGTGATTCAGCCAGGCCTCATGACAAGCCGGTGAGGGAGTAGAGTTACTTCCCCGGCTGGCAGCTCTTGGCAAGGGCAGTCAGCAAGAACACAGTGGAGCGAGGTGAAGCCCAGCAGCTGACCCCAGGCTCCTCATCTCCCTGTGGCAGCCCCTCCGCTTGGATAGAGGAGGGAACTGCACTATGGGGGTGTGGCAGGCAGGAGGGCATCAAATGCCCCCAGGTCAACAGCGTAAGTTCCAGGGCTTGTCTCCAGGAGGTACAGACAGGACCCCCAAGGGATGGGTGCAGGGGTGTCTGCACTTTGCCCAGCTGGGGAGATGAGACTAAGTAAGTGATAAATGATCACCGTAAGGAAGTAGGAGCCCCAGTCACAGTTTTGAAGGGTTTGAGAAAATCGCCACTCCTTAGCATTTAACTACTCAGGGACTTCAGTGAGTCGTGCAGGTCCAGGGGATTTCTGTGATACCGAATTAGTGAATCC